ATATCTAGTTTTATTTTATTAGGCTATGACTAGGTTAAAAAAAAGTAATTCATAAACCAATACCACTTTCTATCAAAAAGGACAGAGGGGAGAAAATAACAAATAAAACACAGTCTTAAAAAAATAAATTAGTGTACCCATAACAAGGGAAGTGATGTGGTTGGCTATTTGGAAGTTTGGGTCATAAATGCTATATGAGACTCTTAGTCTTCTCTGGTTAGTGTAACAAAACACCCCAGGCTGAGTGGCTAATATAACAGAAGTATATTTTTTACATGTCTAGGGGTGTAGGGTGTCAGAGTGGGGGGCTCTTGGAGGGGGGTTCTGCCTAGGCTTGCAGGGCTACCTTCTTGCTAAGAAGGGATGTATAGAAGGAGTTTTCTCTACTTACAGAAGCATGGATTCTGTTACAAGAATTCCACCTACAGGACCTCAAATAAAGCTAATTACCTCCCAAAGGCCCCATTCCAAACACATCATTATGTTGCAGGTTAAGGCTTTAACATGAGTTAGGGGAGCTATAATACAAAATCCAGTGCAGTCCACGTAGCCAAGAAAAATAATATTTTAGAAGGTCAAACGTAAGCCTTTGTTAAGTTAGGAAAACTCAGTGCAGATAAGAGAGAAGGTGGTAAAACATGGGCCAGCTTCTAAGCAAGGAACTGTCTTCCTTCAGCTTCTGGGGCCCTTGCTGAGGTAACGCTGCTGGGAGGGCTGATTGCAGAAGAAAAGTGGTTCCCCAAGGTTGGAAAGATTTTTGAATGGAAAATCTGATGGATTTTAAAAAGTAACAATGCATACTAAAGAGAATTTAAAACTTGACTCTCAGTAACTTTTCTGCTCTTTAAAGGTCCATAAAGAAGCAGTGGGTCAACTCTGAAAGCTGGTCCATACTCAGTGCCTGGAAACTGACTCACACGATATCTGTAAACCAGGCCACACTCAGTGTTTGAAGCCCGCCCTGGGGAAAAAATCTCTGTGCAAAGCAGTCATTGCTGATCCACCCCCAGCAACACATTTCCTCCCAAAAGGCCACACCTCCTAATCCTTCCCAAACAGTTCATCAACTGGTAACTACACATTCAAATACACGAACCTATGGGAGTCATTCTCATTCCAACCACCACACACACCAAACATATAATGGATGAAAAAAAAAAACCCTAAAGTTTAAAATGGCAACTCCACTCATAATAAAAGGGACCAGAACCATTTAAGACAAAAGCCTTTGAAAAGTGTCAGTTGCCGAGAGAGGCACAGGCGATGTCAGAGTCCACGATTCTACTGGAGCCCTTGGCATCACTTTCAGAAGCAAGTAGAAGGGACAGAGTCTTACCAAACCCCATGGACTGTCCTGGAGCTGGGGAGGGACACACCAAGAGTGCTGTAGCCTCTAGCATAGATAGGAGCTACACCCAGGGTGAAGCTTCTCCAGCAGCGTCGTCTTGTTAGAGACAGGAAACACAGGCAGGAAAAGCAGAATAATTGTAATCAGTGGGAGGTAATTATCACCAGGAAGAAACAAGGATTCCGAAAAACAGAGGACAAAGAGGAAATGTAACAAGGAAGATCTTCTAAAGAAAACTGGAGGGTGGAAAGGAAGAGAAGCCCCTGAGTCTCAGAAGGACCAGCGGCCAGCTGTGAGCCCTTGTGAACTGAAGGCACCCCTGTACATTCAGACACACCACCCAGCCCAGAAAACAGGGAACATGTAATGACATAAGACATAATTGAAGTCAACTGAAGCTTTTATATAGTGAAAGCTAAATTTAGTTACTAAAAGGAACGAATGTTTAGGCTGCGATGATCCAAGGGCTCTTAAATTCTACCAGGAACCCACCTAGGTGACAGTAAACTTGGATGAACTAGTGAAGTGGGGAAGGGAGTGGTTTGTGCAGGTGTGGAGGAGACACTGTGGGTGGGGGCTGCCAAGTGTGTTCTAGCAATAGCCAGCAGCCAGCCTGCTGGGTGAGCAGATGAAGCAATGGAGATGTGTTTGTGGGGGTGAAACAAAGTCAAGTCACAGGGAAAGCTGATCTCTCTCTCTCTCTCTCTCTCTCTCTCTCTCTCTCTCTCTCTCTCTCTTTCTCTCTCTTACTTTCTTTCTTTCCCTTTTTCCTACTCAAATATGGCAAGGCCTTGGGCACTTTTAGGCAGCCATACTACATGTGCTATGCTCTAAAGCAATTGTTAAGAAATTACTTTAAATTCATTCTCAGTGCACATACATGTACCTGGGCGTGTGTGCACGTGCACGCACGCTCACACAAATTAACAGTACCGAATCTCTCTACAATGTATACTTGGATCAACACAACATACCACACTACATCCTGTACATAAACACAGTTATGATAACTTAATTTTGGTTTTGGTTTTGTTTTTTGAGATGTGGTCTTACTATGTAGCAGACGCTGGCCTGGAATGCACCTGGGTAACTCAGTCTGGTCCTGAACTTGTGATCTGTATCCACACCCCAAGAGCTGGAGTTAAAGATATGCTTGACTACATTTGGCTGCAGCTTAGTTTTAGCATTGTTCCTCTGCTGAATCTCTGGGTCATAAAGGAGAAATGATGGGATGCATCATGCCGGTGGGTGGACCAGGATGATGGAGGTAGGGATGATGAAAAGTAAGTTTTTAGTGTGTAGTAAAGTTTGAGATGACAGAGTTCCCTTCACTGACAAATAGCACTCACCCATCACAACTATCACAGAGCAAAAAGAATAACCAGGAGCACAAAAGGCCAAAGAGATGTAGGTGATATTATATGGAAATCCTCCATGAAACAGAAAATAAGGTCAACATCAAATAGAGACAAAAAATTAGAGAAGAGAGAAGATGAAGGAGTGAATGACGAAAAGATGGCATTGGCTAATCAGCAACCAAGACTTGAGCAAGACTATTGACAATTAATTGCAAACAAGATTAGGCAATACTGGTGAGTACCTCATTTCAAACATGTCCAGCCCCATGAAGTCAGGTGAGGTATGTTTTGACTGGATCTACAGGTGAACCAAAAGTGTATGTCTGATGGATTAAGAGACGAGTATGTGGGCTGGAGTGATTGGCATAATAAATCACAACCCTCAGTGGGGAAAAGGCTGACAATCCCAGTGAAGAAAGGATTGTTGAGATGTGTTTACTTTTGGAAGAGGATTGACAACAGTTATAGTGTAGGAGAATGGATGGTTAGTTTATGGACATTCTGCTTTGTACCCCATCACAGTGATGAAACAGAATTTCTGTGTGATATTCTAATTTTTAATGCTATGTAATTATGATTATAAAATATAGCATCTGTAACTTTCTTCTATTTATACATCCACCCATATAATTTTTTTTATATAATTAAAGATTTATTCATTAATGTACACAGTGCTCTGCCTGCATGTATGCCTTCAGGCCAGAAGAGGGCACTAGATCTCATTACAGATGGTTGAGAGCCACCATGTAGTTGCTGGGAATTGAATTCAGGACCTCTGGAAGAACAGCCAGTGCTCTTAACCTCTGAGCCATCTCTCCAGCCCCCATCCAATGTTTTTTAATCATTGATTTTAAAGATGCTTAAATATTTTATCATTGCCTAGGTGATAAGAGCTATGAAGATGAAATCAGTGCTCCTTCTGTCATCTATAGCAAGCCCTCCCGAACCTCTCCTAAGTTTATGAGTCACTGAATACCCCATAAGGATTTGAGCTGGTTGCTGGAAGACCCAATAATGTGATTTGAGGGCAGAAAAAACGTCAGCCCCACCCCTGGGAAGGGTTGGAGATAGTTGAAGACGAATGGCCAGTGATTCAATCAACCATGACTTCGTAATGAAGTCTTCTAACAAGCATAAAAGGATATGGTTCTGGGGGTTTTGGGTGGTGAACATGTGGAGATCCAGAGAAGGTGATGTACAGAAAAGGCATGGGAGCTCTGTACCCTTTACCCATACCTGGTCCTGGCTCCTATCAACATGGCTGTTTTTGAGTACCTTCTTTGATAACCTTTGGCAATATAATTAGTTCAGTGTTTCCTGAATCCTGTGAGCCACCTCAGCAAGCACTCTGGCTTGAGTGGTATGTCCTAGAGTCATCCATATAGACTAAATGAGAAGCATGGGGAAGAGCATTGAATTTGATTGACACCTGAGTTGTGGAAGGGCAGTCTGATGAAACAGCCCTCCAAACACTGAGTTGTTGGTGTGGATTCCAGTTACTATCAGAACTGAGATGAACTATAGGCTGCCCATCCATCTGGTGCCAGAGGATTGCTCAGCATGGAGAAAAAAAGCCCCCCCCCACCCTCTCCATTTGGTGACAGGAAGTGAAGTCTTAGTTCTAGGACAGAAGAAAAAGCAAGTATGATGAGGCTATGGGTATGCAGGAATCTTCAGGCTTTTCTGGGAGAGCAGCAAAATTTCAAAGCAAACTGGAAGAACTTAGCGAATATAAAGAAGCATGTAAGCCGGGCATTGGTGGCGCACGCCTTTAATCCCAGCACTCGGGAGGCAGAGCCAGGCGGATCTCTGTGAGTTCGAGGCCAGCCTGGGCTACCAAGTGAGCTCCAGGAAAGGCGCAAAGCTACACAGAGAAACCCTGTCTCAAAAAACCAAAAAAAAAAAAAAAAAAAGAAGCATGTATCCCAGGATCTAGTACCCTGAGAAAAGCCATTAGAAACTCCCATACCCACAGAAAGAAGTAAAGAATTGTTGTGGGGTATAAGTGTTCATTGGAAGATTGCTTACAGGAGGTTGTTGAAGGCATACCAGATACCCAATACCATACATGCGCATATGACAAGAAAGCCACACACACTGCATGCACTTTTATCTTGAAACGTCTATGGGAAGAAAGTCAGAGTAGAGGAAGAAAAATATTCCTCATTCATTTGGTTTCCATTTGGATGCTGTTTACACTGTTCCTATGATACATTTATTTGTTTAACATCATCACCGTCACCTGGGTAGTGGCGTTGGAGGCCATTAACATTTCTTTCATATTTTCCAGGTTAAAAATGAATAAAATAAAAACATACAATGCTACCAACACAACTTGAAAATATTTACAGAACCCCTACCATGTACCAGGGAGAATGCTGAGCCTGGCCATGAGACAGTCTATAGACAGCTTCCACTCCAAAGGAGCTCCAACCAGGTGAGAGATGCACAGACTCACACAGAACATCACAAAAGATTATGATGTGAGAACGGAAGTAAGCACAGTGTGAGCTGAGGCTCTGGGGCAGAAGACTACACAAATTCCATAGTCACCTAAAAATGTGTATGTTCTAGCTGTTGGGGATCAGATGACAGATGGAAGTGTGTGCTCTGGAGAAGGAGGGGACACATCAAGTGGCTGGACTCTTTGCTTTCTCATTTATGTCGCAGTGACTAAACATTCACCTCACAGGTTGCACACAGATGCAGTAAAATGGTATCTATAAAAAGCCAGGCGCATAGTGGCATTCAAAGTTGAGTGCTTTTCTCCTTCCTCTGACTCACACCAGAAGCCTGGAAACATCAAGTAGGTGTTTCCATTTTCTTTCCAGTTTGGAAAACAACAATCAGAAACCCCAGAGGTAAATTTCTTGCTCAATATGACTGGCAGAACTGAGAGGAAATAGGTTCACCACCTTAGTGGATGCTCTTTAAGGTACGTGGTACCCACAGGGGTGTGATGCTCAGTCATTTCCAGCTTCCTCTGCATCGTGATGAGACAGAAAGTGGGGGTAAGGAGGGCAGGTCAGTAGATGTGTGCTCTAAAACATAGGTGAGGCTTGGCTTCTTGAAGAAATGCCAGGCTTCAGGTCTTCAATGAGCTGTCCAGTACCATGACCCAGAAAAACAATGACCTTGTCTGTCCTTCCATCCCTCCTGCTCTTGCCTCAGCAGGAACCAGTCCATGGGGAGCAGAGAACCTGCAGAGGCTACTTGTGAATATTTGTTATCATCTCATCACATGCATGTAGCACTATGAGTACGGTTACAAAACGTCTGTATATTTTCATGAATTAAAACTTTATGGAGGAGATATACTTGAGAAGTAGACGTGAGAGCAAAAACCAATTTTCCATGTGATAACATATGTGAGAGAGGTGGGAACTTCTAGTCCTTCTGAAAATCTCAAGGTATCCTGTGCTGGGAACCAATGAATCAACACACCTTTTGTGAAGGACCACAGCAGACCAGCTGTACCTCGAAGTCAGTGGGGATCTGAACAAGCCAAGTTGACAAAGGGGACTCTCCAAACACTGCCTCCTCATCAGCTCACTGTAGATTGATTACCCTGTGGAGAGGAGTGCCATGTGAGTCTAGTTACATGTGGTTCCACTTGCCTAGTGCTCGGTGTAAAAAGCTTGGTTTATATTTTAGCCGTGTTCAGTGTTAAACAAAAAGTCCGTCCTTTTTTTTGAAAATGGAGTGAAGCCTGTGGGAGATCTCCCTGTTCTTTGCAGTTCTTTAAGCCTAAAGAAAACACAGATCCCTGCCTGGATTGCTCCAGGCCTTTATCTGGTGGAGTCTCTGTGGGATTACTCCATCATCACAGGGTTCTGATTTACAGAACTGTGGAAAGCAGAGGGACTCCACACATTGCTCAGTTTTTAATAAAAAACAGTCACCTTTTGTTTGAAAATCGGCACGGCTGAAATTGAACCCCATCTTTTGGCACAGAGTGATGAAAAGGATACTAACTCTACAGGTGCATTGGTGAGGGGTGGGGCTTCGGGTAAGAACGGTTCCTACAGGCTCACAGGTTCGAAAACTTGGTCTCAGACTTTGGGGGAGGGACTAGAAGGTGTGGACTTGTGGAGAAAGTATATCACTGGGCATGGGGGTTGAGAGTTCATAAACCCACACCACTCCCAATAAAGTGAGTGTTCTCTCTCTCTCTCTCCCTCTCTCTCTCTCTCTCTCTCTCTCTCTCTCTCTCTCTCTCTCT